AATATATGTTGTTAGCTGAACTGTGTTCACCTATTCAGAGACAGAAACGCGTTGCTCAGAGTGGAGCTGAGTCCTTCCTCTCTGGCTGCCAGCAATGTGGTCTTTGACCCTGGCAAGTCACATGGACGGCTGCGTGCTTCACTTTCCCCACCTGACAGCTGCAAAAAAAATCCTTCACCCATAACTCTGTAATGTGTTAAGTCATCAGTGTCTGCAGCTATTTGCTTTGCTCCTTTTCCAGAGCTAAGCACCTGTACCTCAGCTACTCCAGGGCAAAATCCACATCCACATCCATGGTGGAGAAAGACAGTACAGCAGCGTGCACTGAACGCACAGCTGACGCACAGAGACATGTGAATGAAAGGCAGGGTAGACACAAATAGTTAAGATCTCCAATTGTCCCTTTTACTTCAGCAAAAGATACCTGTTAAATAGCTTAACTGATCACTCTGCTATCCACAAATGAAAAAGCAACATGCATAGGATACACAGAATAAATAGGGTACAGACAATTACAGTTCTAATATTGTATCAGAAAGTTCTTAAGTTATCCTGCCTCCAAAAGCACTTTTATGAAAGTGTTTGTTTTATTTTATGCTGCAGAAAATATTCTTGCACAGTTTTCATTGACTAAAGAAAGCTGCACATCAAGGTTACTGTACATCATTCATTCTATGCTGCTTCTAGACAACTAGTTAAAGGAGTATGAAGACAAATTGGAAACGGATTTCACAGTCTTCCAATGGACACCCACATTGCGACTTGCGAAGCACAAAGTTATGATGATTCTATAAACTGTTTTCTGCCATGGCAATAATGAATGACATAGAAAAAGAGTCTAAAACTAAGTTCTTTTATAAAAATTCAAGAACATACCTGGTCCGGGGGTTATACAGAAATCCAGCCAATCTAGAGCAGCAAATCTGTGTTCAAACAGGAGTCATACAAAAAGTTGTGGTGAAGAATGGGAAGCCACTTCATTTGTGGGACATCAACAGCAGATGATCTACTTTTGGGTTGGGCTCAGTCACTGTCGTAAGTCTCTCTTCCACCCACACAGGCAGGAAGACTAAGAAAGACACTGGCCCACACAGTGGAAGTGAGAGACTACTTACTTATCAAGGGAGCAGGGAACCACCCCTTGGCAAGATCGTTTCTTTTTTTCTTTTTTCTTTTTTTTCTGCACTTCAATATTTTTTTTAAGCCTTTAGAAACCTCAGCTCTGAAGAAACAGCTCTTTCCTCCTTGACTTTGCATTACAGGTTTTGATAGGGAACGGACTGGTCTGAGAAAAGAACCTTTATTAGCAAACAGAAGAAGAACAGGTTCCTTTCCTGGAAGATTATTATACATCAGAGGATTTTTCTATATTGAACAGAATTTTAAAGTTTGAACAATCTCCTTTCCTTTTCCTTTCCTCTGAACAGATTTATCAAAATACTGCTCCTACTTTTTCCACTCAGCTGCAGTCTTCAGCCCTTTTAAGAAGCTCTTCAGGAAAAAATAATCTGTTCCACATTGTAACCCGACACACTGCAGGATACTGCAGGGCTTGTTGTGACAGTCGGCCCCTCATTGCTTGTGTTCCTTTCATCACAGCTTCAGAGAACGAGGAGGCCTGGAGGCATCAGCCTTTGCTGTCTGAGATAGCTGCAGGAGAGTGACAGCACTTTTCTGCTTGAAATCAGAGGACAGGGAACAAGCAGGTTTAATGACACTTCGGGACAGAGTAAGAGAAAGGAGATCAATCTTCAGATAATCCTGTAAACTTCCTAGCTGAAGGTGACCCTATATTGCAGCTGCACTATGCCCTCATCCCTTTATTTGTGCCTTTCCCACCAGAGATCCCACAACGTTGCCAGACATTGATGTCACCTTCCTCTTGGGCCTGATGGCTTTTGAAAGCACCAGAAGAATGAAGCTTGAGAGGAGAAATAGTCATAGATACTATTTCTGGTCATTTTTTTCTACCACATACCCAGGCAGAGCATGATTTAGCAATATCCACTAGCTCCCTGGCAGCCTTTGGAAAGCAACAGAGGGATGTTCCTTCAAAATCTCCCCCTTCCAGATCCTTCCTTTTAAATTTCCAGTGCTTTGATTGTCAGCCCTACAGTTAGTTGGTTTCCTCATTCAGTGCACTTCTCAGGAGCATGTTTCATCTTTTCACTGTGGGGTTCCAACAGGAAAAATGGCCAGCAGGAAAAGGACTCCCTGTCCCCCCTTCCATTCTTGTGTGGATCATCTGCTACCCTGTTTGATGAAAGAAAATTATCACTACACTTACCCCCACCATCGTCATCACCTGCTCAGACTACTGCTAGCTTTTTTGCCAGCAATGACAAGCATCCAAATTTCAGGCTTCTTGTCTCTGCCTTAAGAGTTAGCTTTTTATTACCACACCTTCTTTTCAGCATCTCTATCTTCCTCTCATATATGGAGCCCTCTAAAGCCTGGACACTGCCTAATAATCCAGCTGGTTGATTTAGATTTGCATATTAATTATCTATCAGGCCACCCTGAATGAAAGCAGGAGCCAATTACTTCAGTGAGTCTTCCCTTGACAGAGCGTATGACATCTTCCTTTACTATCTACATAAAAATACTACTGTTTTCATTATAATTTTGCTCCGTTAGAAGTCACTGCTGGGTTTCCACATGGTTTGTGAAGGAGGCCATTTCACAAGCGGAAAAATAAACACACTAGGACTCAAAGCAAAGCCGTATGAGTAGTGGCAACCGGAGTCAGGTGTTTCAGACTCTAGCTCCATCTCTGATCTCCCTTCCAACAAAGTGCTTATTACTGGGTGGTGAAGAAATATCTTAAACACATTATGAATTCAGGACTTTTTTGTTTTGGTTTGTTTTTCTCTAGTTTTAATCTTCTTGATTTTTCACATTTAATTTTACATTTTCAAGTAGTGCTGTAATTTTTGATAGTAGCTGATTTTTTAAATTAAACTCTATGTATCTGAAAAAAAAAGATTACCTTTTTAACCATTGCTCTTTCCCATCATCCCCCCCCCAGTCTTTATTAAATTATTTTGTACTTTGTAGAGCTATAAGCTAGCACTCACTAAAGTAAGTGGCAATGCTTCTGACGACTTCAGCAAGCTCTGGAGGAAGTCCTAAAGGCTCACAGCTTCCAGGCAGAGCTAATATTCTTGTTGGAACAACTCCCAAAGTCAGGCATGTTTTAACAAGTACATGTGATTAAGCTGAATTATGAAAACAGAAGTATGCAGATCTAGGAGGCCCCTGACAGGTTTCTAACTTTATTCAGTAAACAAAAACAAGCAGGTGCAACATCCTGCCAGAATTTCGTGAGGGCCAGCCCTGCTTAAAAGAACCTACTCCTGC